CATTACAAAACTCGTTAATATAAATTAAGAATAGAAGCAGACCAAGAATTGATCCGTGTGGTACTACGCATACGACATTTATATTTCGGATTACAAATTATGAACATATTTCTTTCTATCTGTGATATAACTTTTAATCCAGGAATAGGTTCTATTATTTATACCATAATGTTTAATTTTTTTAATGCAATGGTCAACTGTGTTGAATTTTTTTTTTTTTTTTTTTTTTTTTTTTTTTAGTGTAATTTATTTCGCCATTAAAAAATTTTTACATTGCATATACATTTTTATAAATTGATGGCTGGAGCAAGAAGAAGGCACATTTCGCCTTATCGCCGAGCCCCATTAAAAATTCTACATAACCGTAACATACAAATATATATATAAAAGAAACAATTAGAAATGAAATAGAAAATAACTAATATAATAAAAAATATAAAAAATAAGAATTAATTAAGAAGCGTTAAGATGCTCAACAGTTGCTAAAATGTTTAAGAAATAAGTTAATATATAAAAAAAAAAAAAAAATTCCTGAATATAAAAGAAATTGAAAAAATAAAATCTCATAATTAACACTAAATGAATATGTAACATCATCACTTATGACATCATCACTTGTGACATCATCACTTGGATTTCTTATTCTTTTTTTTTTTTTTTTTTTTTTTTTTTTTCTTTTTTTCCTTTTTCTTTCTTTTCTTATTCATATTATCATATATCATTGATATTATTGAATCTGTTTTTTTTTTATTTTTTTTATTGTGTTTACTTTAAAATAAACATTTAAAGTCGGATTTATTGAGATCCATGAACAATAATAATCGTTTTGATTCATCCTTAAATTGCTCCAATGTAGTCTGCTTTTTGTTAACAATATCTGGAAATTTCTTCCACAGATAAGGTCCGCGGTATTTAATTGAATAGGAAGTTAATTTTAATTTATGTTTTGGAACAACAAAATTGTTTTCTGAAAACTTTGTTGAGTACCTATGGTTAATTTTATTAAAATAAGATTGAAATATTTTAGGAGACAAATCCTTTTTTGTTTTAAACATAAACAATAAAACTTGGTGTAAATTAAGTTTATATACATTTAAAGCACCGAGCACACTTAGAAGTGGTTCGCAAGGAACATTTCTGTCGGCTCCAAATACTATTCTACATGCATGTTTTTGTTTATTGTAGAGTTTCTTTAGTTTTGTATGACTAGTACTAGCCCACACAACATTACAATAAGACAAATAACTGTGAATAAAGGCGAAATATAATTTTTTCAGAGATGATATATTTAGAAAGGGTTTAGCCCTAAACATCATTGCAATATTTTTTGAGATTATTTTTTCAATGCTATTTATATGTGAACACCATTTTAAATTTTCATCCAATTTTACTCCTAAAAAGTTTATGTAAGATTCCCTTTTAATATAAGTTTTATTAATATTAAGATCTGGTAATTTAAGAGGAATATTTTCTGATTTATTTACTTTATGGAAAAGCATATATTTTGTTTTTTCCGCATTTAGTGAAAGTTTATTACTTACGAACCATGCACTAACATTACATAACTGTTCGTTAACTATTTTAAAAAGTGATTTAATATCTCGGTGAGAACAAAAAAGATTTGAATCATCAGCAAACAAAATTAGGTCTAAAAGATTTGTTGATCGGTATAAGTCGTTTATGTACAATATAAATAAAAGTGGTCCTAAAATAGAACCCTGAGGAACCCCGCAAGTTATGGAGTGTGGAATTGTATTATTTTTATTATAGTATAAAAATTGCTTTCTGTTAGTCAGATAATCTTTGAACCAAAGTAAGTTTTTATTTTTTACACCGTAGTTTTCGAGTTTTTTTATTAGTATATAGTGATTTACGGTATCAAAAGCTTTTGACAGATCAATGAAAACTCCTAATGTAAAACAGTCATTATCTAAGGCATTAGATATTTGATTGGAAAGTTCAACTACTGCGTGTTCAGTGGAATTTTTTTTTTTAAAACCAAATTGTTTACAATATATACATGTCGTTCTCAGTTAGATGATTATAAAGTCTGTTATACATTATTCTCTCTAGCAATTTTGAAAAACAAGGTAAGATTGATATAGGCCTGTAATTTAAAATATTTGACTTATCTCCAGATTTAAAAATTGGTGTTATACGGGCAATTTTTAATTTGTTAGGAACAATACCTGACTTTAATGAGAGATTGAAAATGTGAAATATTCTTTTTTTACTTTTGAGACTGCTAAATGCAGTTCTCAACTCACTCAGTTTTAAATCAGTTTCATCCATAAGTTTATCATAAGTTTTTAAGTATGAATCAAATGGAATGGAAGTAGTAGAAATTTTAGCAGCCAAATTCGGGCCAATATTAACAAAGTAGTTGTTTAGTTCTTCAGCTATAATTGATTTTTCATAAACTAATTCTCCATTAATTAAAAGATTTTTTGGCAGAGTGCTTTTGTTATAATTATTTTTTCCAATTAAATCCTTAATTAAATTCCATATTTTTTTAGTGTTTCCGTTGGTTTTCTTTAATAATTGATCATAAAATAGTTTTTTTGAGTATTTTTTGGTTTTTTCAAATATATTTTTATAATTTTTGTAAGTTATTTCATTTTTATAAGTTTTTTTTTTGAGATATTTTATATATAATTTTTCTTTCTTTTTTGAAGATTTTAGTAAGCCTTTAGACATCCAGGGAGCTTGAAGTGACTTGGTATTTATGACTTTTTTTATTTCTGGAAACGCTATTTCATATTGTTTGCAAAATTGATTAAGAAACAAGTCATATGCATTGTTAGCCTCATTTGATTGCAGTACTAGATTCCAATCAACACAATTTTTTAAACAATTTTTAAATTGTTTTAAGGAGTTTTCATTGATCTGTCGCCGAATTATTATGGATTTTGTGGAAATATTGTTAATTAAAATGTTGTTTGTAGCTAAGAATGTAGGAAAATGATCCGATAAATCGGTCTGGATTATACCTGTTTGAATGCTTTAGATATATCTATAAATACTCCAAAAGTAAATTTGTTATTGTCAAAACCATCAGTTATTTGGTTGACTATTTCGATAATTTCATGCTCAATTCAAACAAATAGGTTCATGTCACCAATGTCAGCAATAATACATAGGCTTTTATTTTCTTTATTAATTTTTATAAGTTTTTTAATAAAATTTTCGATTGGTTTAACTTACTAATATATTTTTACATTTATTGTTAATAATTTCAATTAAAATACTTTTATAGTTGGTATTTGAGAAACATTGTAAGTTTTTTATTTTATAGATATTTTAATTGGAGACATAAACCCCTATTCCTCCACTTTTTTTCCCGCTGACTCTTGGTTGACTAACTAATTTATAAGATGGCAAACTATAGTTATAGTTTACCCGGTGGGAAATTTACTAGCGAATGGCTAGCTATAATTGTAACAATAAAGATAGCGATTTGGCCACGAGGATCGCTAGCTTTTTTAAGTTAGCGAAAAGCTATCAATATTTGTAAAGATAAAGGCAGCGATTTGGCTACGAGGACAGCTAGCTTAATAACCTAAAGACCCACAGGCTATTGTAGCTAGCGTCATATCGTAATAAAATAATTGTCTAAAAAATTGTATGAAAATATGTAGCTATCAACAAACTATAGATTTGATGATATTTTGTAGCTAGCTACAAACCTACGATATGTAGCTAGCGACACATTGCTACAAAATCGCATTGTTTAAAGTTTAATTATTCTTATAATAATTATTATTATTATTATTATTGCTATTATTATTATTATTATTATTATTTTCTTTGTTCTTTATTACATGAAAATTTTTATACAAATATATAAAGTTAAAAAGTTTACAATTAAAGATTATTTTAAAATAATGATAGAAATTAAGTAAAAATAAAGAACGCGGAAACTTAAAGAAGACTTCAAAGGTCTCGTCATGAGAACCGCAAAAGTTTGACACGTCAATAAAAGTTGATATATACTCATACAATGCTACTTCTTCTTTTCAGTATGTCTTAATTTTTGTGACGAATTTTTCATTTTTCTTCAAAATTATTATTTTCTCCAACAATTATAAGAGACTTAACACTAAAAATCGAATTTTTAAAGATGTTAAAGACATTAGGAAAAAATAAAATAAGAAAAAAAAATCGCTAGAAAATTGCTATAAAGCTAGCTAGTCGCTAGCTCAATTCCCACCGAGTAACTTATCATAACTTTCTGTATCCTGTCACGTCTCCATAATACCAATGAAGTCGAATGCGTAATTTACAATGCTTCAACTTTTCTATACTTTGTTGCATGATTCTAATGTTTACATGTATTACAAAAAATGAATTTTTTTATATTACTTAAAAGTCAAATAGTCTTGGATATTTTTTAAAATAAAATTCCCTTTTTTGAAAATAAACAAGAGACCATCCATAAAGGATGTCATCCAATTGGGGGAAGGGAGGGGGAAGGGGAGGGGGAGGGGATCGAGTTAAAAAGGACAAAATAGGACAAGGGGAGGGGGGAGTTTATCAGAAAAGGACGTCACTTTATAGATTTTTTATTTTAGTTTAATTAACATGGAAAACTACGTAAACATGTGTTTTTGAGAAGATAATGTATGAGAATATTTTTAATTTTATTTTTCAAAGGTGTAGCAGCAGATTCAAACATCATTGCAAGATGAAATAAATTTTTTTGGAGTTAAAAATAGGGAGGGGGATCAGGACTTTATGACTGGTGACGATGGAGGGGGAGGGAAGGGGTCAAAAATTGGCTAAAAAATAGTGACATCCTTTATGGATAGCCCCCAAATAATATTATAAAAATAATTTAAATATTTTAACTCTAAAGATATAAATATAAATCAAATCGATAAAGACTTTAAATTTTTAGCGTCGTTGGAATTCATATTTTTAAATTCATGAATTACGAGCTTGTTGTCTACCACTTTTGCGAAGTATCAGTTTAGCCTTTGAATTTTTGCTTAAACAAAGAGTTCTTTTAGAATTTTTCTTGTGATTTTGCTATAATCCTCGTTAATATAAATACTGCTACCTTTATGATAAAAACCTTTATCCAAGATTATTTTTTGTCCTCAAAGTCATGTAGTTTGAGTACCATTGTTCGTGCACGCTTATTGTTAGCCAACCAAACACGTTCAATTTTAATATACTGTTTTATCTCGACGTTCTCATTCAAAAGTTTTTTGACTTTTTTTTTTGTAAATTCCCACTCTTTTTTGTTACAAGTTTTTTGAAGACCGCCAATTCGTAATTTACTTCTTTGTTTCCTATCCTCTATATCAACACATTTTGTAACTTTAACTCACTAATATCTGACCAAATTTTTCCTTGTATTTATTTAATATTAGATAACTCATCACTTACTTGTTTTATCTTTTCTTCGTACGTCTTTATCTTTTCAATATACAGGTCACCAAAAAAATTCATACCAGTTTTAATTTCTTCAAGATCATTACTTAAGCCGTTAATATTTTGTTGCAAAGCTTCAATGTGCAGATTAAAGTCTTTTACTGTTTTTTTGAAAAATGACATCATAGTTTCTTTTTGAACATTGAGAAGTTCTCTCATCATTACAATGGTTTCATATTTAACCAATTTGCTCATTTAATTTCTTTTAACGTTTAAATATATAGTTATTAAGATAAATTTGTTGGTTTACATTTTCTTAAAATTTATCTACGCAAGCAAAACACGTCCAATCGCTTTAGAGTTTTGAGCATAAATTTTAAACGAATCACCAACCAAATATATTGCTGCAAAACTACGTTAAAGAAACTATTGGAAAAAACTTTCTCTAGATTTAGACTGTAAAACTATGTGGAGCAGTTTTAGAATATACTAGAAAGATTTTTAAAAATGCACATAAAACAAAATGGACACTGTTTAAAGGGTAAACAGATTCTAAATGTTTACTAGCTTTGCACCCCTTCTTCATCTTTTAGGCTGGCGTAGATATATTTATACATTGTTTCCAATATAGGACGTTGAATTATAAAACATAAAAAACCATTGTCAAAACCAAGTTCTCTAAATCTATCATTCACCATTATTTATGATCTTCAAATTAATTTTTATTCTGTTGAGTCTTATCTCTTGCAAAGTTCACCAGACCTTCTTTCTTTTTGTGAGATTAATTTGAATTCAGCTGTTTCATCTTGTGATCTTAGTTTTGATGGTTATCCTCCTATAATTCGTAAAGACTAATTAGTCACATGCTTAGCCTGGGCATTTACGATCGTAAGAATTCAACAATTTATGGCGAAACTAGGTTTGAATCCACATTCTATTTTTTTATGTGCTTTTGTTCAGCACCACTTCACTCTTTCACCTTACTCTTTGTTCTATATCGCTCTCCTTTATCTTAATACTGCACTCTTTTCGATGTTATTTTTGATTAAATTGATCGAGACCTTTCTCTTCAGCCAATATCGTTTTTGTTGGTGTTAATGCTCATCACACTGAATGGCTTGACTTTAGCGTCAGTGACTTTGCAAGTTTTAAGGCCCTTAACGTTTTAAAGGCTTTTTCTTTATCTCTAACTATTCAACTTTCCAACTCCCTTTCAGACTATCCGAATCATTAACCTTCTCTACTCAACTTATTCCTTATTTCTGATCCTATTAAGAGCTCAGTTTCCCCACATTCCCCTTTAGGTGCTTCTGATCACGGTTTGATCTCTATAAAACTATTATCTCATTCTTCTTCATAATCAGAATCTCCCTATCATTGTACCTCTTACATCTATCCTAAAGCTGACTGGGACTCTTTCAGTAATTTTTTTTCTCAATGGTCCTTGGGAAGAAATTTTTTGTCTTCCTGCTGACAAAGGTGCCTCTTATGTAACTTCTTGGATTCAGGCTGGAACGGAAACTTTTATTTTCTCTTAAAAAATTCAAGATCGAGCCTCACTCTTCTCCATAGTTTTCCTCAAATTGGGCTGCTGCAATTTCTAATGGGAACCATTACATCCATATCTATCAACAAAATTATATTCCAGAAAACAGAACGTGTGTTTAATTTTCAAGAATTTAAAATTAGGGTCGAGCGGGGTATATAGGGGACACTTAAAAACAAATGCGGATAAACTAACCATAGTTAACACTGTTTTTTATAAATTTTCTAAAATTCATTGATATAAAAAAACGAAAAAAAAAAAAAAAAGTTCTTAAAATAAGTTACAAAACTCTAGACTTGAAAAATTTTTACATTTCACTAGTGGATAGGGCAAAACGAGGCAGTTAAAAAACAGCAGTTACTCGTTAATTGTAAAGCTTTAAAAATGATAAAAAATGAAGGCTATCACTTAAATATGTTCAGACATTAAAATCTCAAAAAAGTAACGCATCCATATAAACTACACGTACATGTATACACCCATACACCACAAAAAGAAATAACAATAAAAATAATTTTTTTTTTGTGTTTTATTATAAAAAAACACCGCTCCACCCCAACCTATATATTATTAAATTGGTAACTACTACTAAATTAAAAATTAAGCAAAAAATACTATGGACCGCATAAATCACACCAAAAATATCCTGAAACTATTTAGCAACATTTTTGATGAGCTGGCTAATTAGCGAAATGCCGTTATAGAGCAAATTTAAATATGCCATATGTATCAGCAGCTTTTGTTGTTCCAAGTTTCTTTTCCTACTCACAGCTAAAACTACTTTTCGTCCCATTTTGGATGAATGATTTTTTTTTTATATATTTTGTTACCATCGTTGTTTACATTAAATACAATAATTAAAAGTTAAGTTATAAAGATATCAATTTTTTTAAATTTATTACTAATTTTGCTTTTCTAAGTAAGGAAAAAAAATTGAATTAAAAATAAAATCATCAAACTGTAAACACCATTACGAAATGTAAACACCATTACGAAATGTAAACACCATTACGAAATGTAAACACCATTACGAAATGTAAACACCATTAAGAAATGGTATTAATATAGTCAATTATATAAATAACTTGTTGTCCGAATATGCCCCATAAATGTCATTTTACTGAAGTTAATACTATTAAAAAAATTTAATTCCAGATATTTTTTTAAAACCAGATTCTTAAAGAGGGTGAAAAATTCGGTCTAAAAAAAAATTTTAATGGATTTTGGTATGTCTAAAATTAAGTTTTCTTTTTAATTAAATGAAGCATAGTAATTTAAAATGTTTTATCAAAAGATAAAACACTTTTAATTACAGAAAAAAAAATTCTTTTAGCTAAGATATAATGCTTTATGCCAAACTGTCCCGTTATGCCCCGCTCTACCTTACATTACTTTGTATCAATGTGCTTTGCAATACCAGTACACATAGGACACTTTCTGATTCAGAGTAACTTAACTGATTACAGTATGAGGATTTTCTCTTGGATTTTGAACAGTACAGAGGTTCGGTTTTTTTATTTAAAAAAGACTTTTAATAATTCTGCAACACCCACAATAATTCATATTCTTAGCATTTATTCTTAAAACTAATTGTTCTTTAAGTAAATTTTCACTCAGAGAAAGTGTATGTGTTAACTAAAACTATGTGTTAATACTCTTTTTTTTCTTTTGATACATAACAAGAAAACATCGCTGAGTAAAATAACAAAAGAAAAGCCTAACAATAACCTTTTTTAACATGATAATATTAATATGTTTTCGTTAATACTTTCAACAAACCACTTGGTCTAATAACACAACTTACAGCGATTATAATACACGATGTGTATTATAATAGGTGCATAGTTATGTAAATATTATAAATCATTTAAATTTTATGCTTTAAATTTAAAGCAGGAATTTAACTTAAATTTAACAGAAAGTATAAAAAATAACTTCAACTTTGAAGTAAACAAGTCCAGATTTTTGTTTGCTTCAAACCTAAATTAAATGTTTGACATTAAAAATGAACATGAAAGGCGCACGCAATAGTAGTCTGGATTAGTGGATAATGTGTATCGCAGCTATTATTAATATGATGTATCACTTTACAGACATTTCCAAAGTCATAAATAGTTTTTAAAAAAAAATCCATTTTTTTTCTAAAATTAAAAAAAGATTCAATTTGCTCATAAAATATACAAATTAATAAAACAATTAATCCTAAAATAAGAAAAAACTATGACTAATATTAGATTAACACATTAAACATAATATTAATAAAAAAAATATTGACAAAATATAAGTTTAAATATTATAAATATAACTTCAGCGGTTTAAACAAAACAATTAGGTTTTGGATTTCAAAGCCAAGCATCGTCTTCACCAGGCTTTAGTATTTCATTTAATAATGCTACTATTTCTTTTTTTTTTGCATGCCTTTCTTCAAGTCTTGTATAAAATGTTTCATCTTCAGTAGCTTGACGAATCTTGTCATATAAACCAGCCATCAACATTTTTTTGTTAACACTGTTGTAATAATAATTGTCATTATTTTCAAATTCATCTTTACGCCCTATTTGAATAGGGTGTTGATTTAAAGTAACTGTTGCCGGTTTATGTTTTTTTCGAGAGAAAAAAAAATCTTTTTCAAAAATCTTCCTGAAGTCATCCACAGTTTTTCCAACTTCATTCTATTTGTAAAAAAATTAAAAAAACAGATTGCATTTATTTATAATGAAAATATTCGTAATAAAAAAAATAATAAAGTATTAATATAAATATTAATTCGTAATAAAGTATTACTATATATATATATATATATATATATATATATATATATATATATATATATATATATATATATATATATATATATATATATATATATATATATATATATATATATATATATATATATATATATATATATATATAGGGCCGGCGCGAGTAGGTGTCACGTGGGGGGGTGCCATTACAACTTGCCGACTAAGGATCCAATTTGACGACTAAGGGTCCAGTTTGCCGACTAAAAATCATTGATGGGGGGGGGGGTGTCACACCCCCCCTATCGCGCCGGCCTTGTATATATATATATATATATATATATATATATATATATATATTTAGTAATATTTTAGAACAGAGATGAAAAAAAGCTATGGGAATATACATCTTAGGAATGGTATTAGCTGGGTCAAAAAATTTTTAGTAATTACAAGATCATTTTTGAGTGAAATTTTTAGATTTATAAAATCAAATAAAAAATATTCACTTTTCAATTATACATAAAATGCGTTTAATTATATGTATATAAAGTTTATATTTTATTTTACAAAACATTTTGTATTACTACATAAACAGCAAAAAAAAAAAGTATTTCTATTTGAAAGAAAAAACAAAAACATTCAATAAGCATGTCAAAAGTTGTACCTGATTTAGAGGTGCTAGATTTACAGCTAAAAATGAAAAAATAAAAATAGATTTAAAACCTTTAAAATAAAATAAGAATTTAAATTTGACACATGGAAAAAACCTATAATTACCCTATATTTATATAATACTAAACTGGTATACCATATTATCTTAAGTAATTCCAGTGACGTCAAACATACGTTTAAAATAAAAAAATATATAATCTTTTCTAAAATAATTATTATAAAGCGTTGTATTAAGCCGATATTCAAGCAGGCATAATCTTTTTTTTTTACTTAAGTGTCTATTTTACTTTAACGCAGTTAAAAACTTATATAGTTCCTGGTTTTCAAAAAAGAAGGCATGCGAATTTTATACACTAAGGTAACTGGAGGAAAATATTTTCTTGGTAATCTTTATCGATTATGAGCAATGAGTCATCAAACTTACATTTATACTTTCATTTTTGATAAAATAATAATCACGTTTTCGGTTCAAAAACTAATTTTAATTTTTTTTTTCATTTTTTTCAAGTGACAAAACTTCTCTAAAATAATATTAAAAAGAGAGAGAGAGAGAGAGAGAGAGAGAAAGAGAGAGAAAGAGAGAGAGAGAGAGAGAGAGAGAGAAAAGAAAGACAGAAAGAATAGCACAGAGAAATGCTTTTTTTTGTTAACACACAAGAATTGAAATTAAACGCCAACCTGATATAGTAACAAATATAGCAAATGCAACGATGCAAGAAACCATTCTGTCAACGAATTCTTTTTATAATTTACCTTTATTCAGATCAAATAGTAAATGTTTTTAATATACTGATCTAAAAAATAACAATAAAAAAATATATCACAAACTAAAAAAAAAAGCAACCAAAGTTTCTTTATCTTCATAATTTAATTTTCAAACACTGATAAACTTTTTTTTTATTATTATGCTAACTACCTTCATTATCAATTTAACTGATACCTGAATATTATTTAAACTAAAATTTATAACCAAATTTTTTTTTGTTTTTGGTCTAACTAATATCTAACTATTTTCTTGTAATATGCAGAGTTATTTTTCTTGATTTAAATGTATTTTTTTATCTATATATAGTTAGCGTGGTTTTGTGTCGCAAAGATACTCAGTTTAATTTCTTGCCTTGAATTTTATCCTTATTCTCATCCCGTTATATGAGAAGTAAAAGACACCATCACCTAAAAAATGTGCCCCAAAGATTAAAGCATTTTTTAAATAAAACAAAAATAATTATTATTATTATATTATTACTCTTTTTCAACTATATTTATTTATTAATTGTATAAAAATTCTCATCTTAGCGAACCAAAGCTAAAAAAAAAAAAAAAACTCCTCAAATTTAAGTCCATAAAACTTGTTGTCGTTTTTATGTTTGAAATTATTTTGATTTTTACGACTTTTAAATTATTCTGTTGTGTTTAGAAAAATAACTTTTATTATATCCATCAGACTTAGCCTATAGCGACTTTTTCTAAAAGCCAGTTTTTTATAATGGCGCTTTTGAATTTCCTTTTTCAGAGGTCGTATCTATAACAAATAACTCAGTTTGTCTAAAGCGACTTCCGTTATAACGACTGTTTAATAATTTGCTATATATTTTAACTCCCCACAAAGCATAAATATTGTTAAATACATTTCACAAAAAAACCTTTAAATTTCATGTACTTTTCAAAAAAAAACAAAAAAAAAACAACTAAAATATAATACATTAAAGGACAAAATTTACAGATGATCTTCCTAAGTTTGCTGGAGTTGGCTCCCATTTGTTTTTATTTTATATTATTTGTGTTTGGTTTCGCAGTTATTTTTAAAAAATTGTTTTAAAAAATTGTTTTGTTCCTTTTATTTTTTCTGAAATTAGCTTAGAATTAGTTACCTTAGTTACCAAGAAGGATTTTGCTTAGTTTTATTTCTTTGAGTTTATTAAAAACAAAAAACAAAAACGTTGTATAATACTCAATATTCAACTCAAAATTCCAATCAATTTTTCTTTTCTTTAAACATTTTGAAGGACAATTAATCGTTTTTAAAAGAGCCTTTGATTGAAAAGGTCCGAATTCATTACACAAAGTCCGAAAAAATTTAGAATAAATAAAAACTTTCTTTAGCTGAATTTTCGTCATTTTTTTCTTTCGATTTTTATAAATTGGCCTACGTTTCATAATCATTTATGCATTTAAAATAGCATTTAAACACTTCGTTTTAAAAAGACTCTAGATTAAAAAAGGCTCTAGTTCATTAAACAAAACCCTTAACATCATCAAATACTTTCATTAACATGACTCTTCGCTAGAGTTTTTTTTTGCATTACCTAATATATTACAGTAAACGAAAGTGTGGGTTTTCACAGCATTTTGCGCCAAAACTAAAAAAAATTTCAAGTTTTTAAGACATAAATTATTTCATAAACCTCCATAAATCAGAATCTTTATTTATTTTTTTACATCTTTATTTTTCTTTCTATCTTACGATAGAAAGATTTCTATCTTAAGATGGACAGTTGTACTCACAACAAAGTTGTGAGTAGTGTTTATTTTAAAAGCAAAAGTACATATGCAACAATGTGCAGTTTTATAACGAGCCTCTGCAAAATATATCAGTATTAGAGTTAGAGAATTACCTGTAACTAACAAGATTGCTGTTTAAAACATAACCCTATTGCGCAAATATATTTAAGAATTAATGAAATGAGCAATGTTAAAAAGTTATCTCAAACAGTTTTTAATAAAATAAAAGCTAATTTAAAGGATGGTTTTTTTTTAACCAATCATGATGTGATTTTAGTTAGAATATTTAGGAGGAAGGTTTAGTTGTGATTACTACAGAAAAAAAGATTTGAAAATAAAATTCAAAATCTGTTGATGTTTATTTTTTAAGAAGTAATTAAAAGAGTGTTGTTTATACTAAAGATATCACCAGTTTAGTGATCAACTGTGTATGTTTACCTTCTGATTAAGGATTTGTTATTTTACAATTACTTCATAATAAATGTTAAATAATCAGATTCAAAAAGTTTTTAAAGTCTTCTTTTTAGTGAGCCTAATATTTTGTCTATCAATTTTTATTTTATTTCAAATTATTTTTGCAAATTTAAAATACTTATATCATTAAAATGGCTTTATTACCAATCTTGTCTATTGGCAGCATACGTAAATACATGTGCATGTACAAGTGATGAGTTGTTAAATGTTATATATGTATTTTATTGTTTAGTTCTATTAAAATACTTTATTCTGTCGTCACTATTTTTGAAAACAATGTTTTGAAAAAAGTGACTTTTCCATTACACTAATATATGCAAGGTAAATGACAATATTATTTATTGGTTATCTTTTTAATTTTTTAGTTCTGTTTCATTTTTTGTATTTTTAAGGTCGTTAGACTAAAGCAGGTTGATGGCAATACATCAACATCAATAATAAACAAAGCTTTAGGTCAACAATAGTTCAAGCTAAATTTAGCAAGGTTGGAAAACGGAGAATGACCAGTCACGGCTACTTACGAGTACAAAGCTTTAGACAGCAAACGTCAATTCAATATTGAATTAACGCTGTACCAACGTTGCTATGTTGTATTAATATTATTTCAATGTTAGATTGACGTTATGGGACCTCTGGGTACGTTCATTCAGGCAAATGTTACTTTTAGATAAATATAGTATAAAGATAATGTATATATAAGATTTTGTATGGAATTTATGAAAATGTTATATCTAGCTTAATGCAGTTTCAAAAATTTTATTATCTTTAACAGTTTAAATACAAATTTAATTATAAATGTATTCAATTAAATTTTCTTGGTTTCTTTAGTGGTTAAAATGTGTTTTAAAAGTATTTATAATAACTAGCAGTAAGCAACCCGTAATACGCGTTGTTAGTAAATAAAATTAAAAAAAACTGCGTATAGAAAAGCCTAGAAACTACTTTAAAATAGAAAAGCCTAGAAAATGACGTAATTCGACTAATAATATTAAATGAGCGTATTAATATTATCAGATGTCAAATAGATGATAACCTAAATACGAACATTGTTTGGGCTTTTTTTTCTTTGTATGTGCTTTGGTGATGGAAAGGCTACGTGAAAAAATTTTTATTTTGAATAATAAGAGACCGTTTTTAGAGAGCTCCCAAGGCTGAAAATAAAAAAACACATTTAATTTTGGAAATCTCATTAATATCAAATATATGTTTTAAATTATTGTTTTATTATTATTGCTTTTATAATGCTATTATAATTAAAATTATAAACATGTCTTTTTAAATTTAAATTTAATAAATTTTACAATTAAAACACAAATTAATAACAAAATTTAAGCAGAAGATATTTTCCTACTAAAAAACTTTATTCTATCCAAATGTTAGTGTTCTAAATTTTGTTTTTTACAACTCATTAGGCCGGGTGAATAAAAATTAGCAATTGCTTTTATTCAGTGATTGGTCAACTTTACGTGAACAAAAACTTAAGGAGTTTTGGTTCAGTTTTTATTTACGCAAAGCTGAACAATTGCTGAGTAAAGTGCTTAACTTTACATGAATAAAAAATTTGATAAAAACTCTTAAAGTTTTTATTCACGTAAAGCTGACCAATAACTGAGAAAAAGCAATAGTTCATTTTTATTCACCCGGCCTATTATAAAGGTGAGTTTCCACTCATCCGTTTTTTCACGGGAACGGGATAGGAAAGGGAAAAATAATAAAGTGAGCATGCGCAGTTTCCTTACGGACAAATAAAAACTTTTATTACGCATGCTCGCGTGATTATTTTTCCCGTCCCTTTCCCGTTCCCGTGATAAAACGGATGAGTGGAAACTCGCCTTCATGATTTGTAAAAAGGTAAACAGACAATATTTGGTTGAAAATAAATGGTTTTGTACTGTCAAACCATTACATTCGGGCGGATAAAGCTCATAAAATAAACCCATCCAATACTCGTCTAAAATTCGTTTATTGAACGTTTTAAAAAACCGTTCCATCACCATTTTCTTTAGATAAAAAAGCACCTAAAATAAACGTTTCTAATAAACGTCTAAACAATGTTTTCTGAGCGTTTATTAACACCGTCCACCACCATTTTCTTTAGACTAAAAAAGCATCCAAATTAAACGTTTCCAATACACGTCTAAAAAACGTTTTCTGAATGTTACCGATTCCACTGCGTTCTTTCTCACTTTTCACAGGGATAATTGTGTTGAAAAGAATATTGAGAGCTCCTATTTGTAAGCATTTAAGTTTTGCATAAATTAGAATATTATGTGATAATGACAATGATTACAGAGACTCTGCACATAATCTTCTAAAAGACTTTGTTGTTAATTCAAATGAACATTTTGGTGAACTTTTTATTTCACCCATCAAATTGCACATTGTCACTCATGAGCAAAAGTTATTCGTACATATGCGACAATGTGCAGTTTTATAACACGCCTCTGGAAAATATATCAGTATTAGAGTTAGAGAATTACCTGTAACTAACAAGATTGCTGTTTAAAACATAACCCTATTGCGCAAATATATCAAAGAATTAATGAAATGAGCAATGTTAAAAGATTATCTCAAACAGTTTTTAATAAAATAAAAGCTAATATAAAGGATGATATATTGGTTTATATATATATATATATATATATATATATATATATATATATATATATATATATATATATATATATATATATATATATATATATATAATTTTTGTATTATATATAAGATAGGTATGGTCTTATTATGTATATTATAATTATGTATTATATTATGTAAATGTTATGTATTATGTTTATAATAATTTGTATATAACAATTAATGTAATAAATCATTTATTTTTTTTATTAACAATTTTTATGCAGATAAATTTTGTTGAAATTAATGATTAACAATTAAATTCAAAAAACAACAATTAAACTTTCTACATTAATTAATTGGAATTTATGTATGATAAGCTCAATTACATATTAATTACATAATGTTGAACTAAAATGTGTTTGCGCTTGTCTGTCAACTATTGTTATCAACATAAAAAGATGGAATAAATCGAAACATAACTTATCGATTTAAAAACACAACTTATCGATTTAAAAACACAACTTGTCGATTTAAAAACACAACTTGTCGATTTAAAAACACCACTTGTCGATTTAAGCTGCAATCTTGGCTTTAACGAAAACAAAAATGTTTCTAAACATCGATAAAGGTTATTGTAGCAAAAGCATTGCCAATTTTAAATTGAAATATTTGTTATCAACAAAAATTAAATTGAAATATTTTTTATCAACAAAAATTAAATTGAAATATTTGTTATCAACAAAAATGTTTAAAATCTGTTTGAACTACAGAATTAATGATGCGGCACCAAATTGGATTCAAAAAATCTTGGTAAAAAAATTAAATCTTTTAGTTCAAAAGCAATCTTGGTTTTAAGCAGACACCTGTGAGTCAATCATCATACTTTATGGTATCAACCATTAGATGACAACTGCATTGAAGGGGAAGAGTTGTGTATAGTTAACCTTTATTGATGCGTTATAAACTATGTAAAAGTTCAAATGCGACAACTCTATGCTAGATTTGTTGGATCTGAAGAATCATTTTTAGTAACAATAGTATAATGCATACAACAACTAAATGTATTTGGTTCTGGGGTCTTTGCAGCTATTTTGAAGATGAGTTGGAAAGAGCTTCGAAAATAAAATAATGTGTTCTTAACTCGTTTGTTGTGACAAAACATTAATCATTGCACTTTTTTAAAAAGCTTAATAAAAAAACGTGTTTGAACGCAATAATACAAGTAATAATAATAATCTTTAACTACTTTTAATGTATTTAATTGTTAATTATTAAATTAAAAATAAATACAATAAAACAATTAAATTGTTTTAATTTTGGCATAAAATCTGTGTTAGTGTTGTTATAATTGTTTAATGATTGAGCCATTTGCATGATGTTCAACCATTTGCATGATGATTCAACCATTTGCATGATGATTCAACCATTTGCACGATGATTCAACCATTTGCTTGCACCGGTAATTATTAATTTTTAAAATTATTTAACCTTTAAAAAATATTACCAAACAGTTTGAATTACCAACAATTCACCTTTTTTCAAGTGAGTTGTTTATAATACAAAGTTGCTATATTCAAATTGCTAAATTTTTTGATAAAAATTCCAGTACTGAAATTTCTAATTGCACTGCCAGAAAATAGAATGCTTGGCATTTTCTTCCAAGTGGTGGTATATTTAAACTTTATTCAAATTGTTTGATGACATTTACAACATCCCACTTTCCACCTACATACATTGTCGGCAAATATAATATGAGTTTTGTGTAAGTTGTTTAATCGCACTGTCGAATTGTTCAAAAAACAAAACATTTATTTTCACTGCAGGAGATTAAAGTATATATATTTCCATCACACTGTTTGATTTCACTGCTGGGTGTAAATTTTCTAACCGCTGTCTATTAATAAACAAATACTGAGATTTTAATTAGAATCTTTGCGTTAGCAATGCACTACTAGAATAAAACATTCAAATTATTCTTTGCTAACGCAATGCACTACTAGCTTATAACATTCAAATTATTTTCCTGTTTTTTATTGCTTGGGCGAGCAGTTGTTAAATTAAGTTCAATTTTGAATTTTTTTTTTTTAAATTCAAATTTAATAAATAACACAATTTCTAATTTCTTTGCTCAAACTGCCAGCAACTAAAAATAAAATCATTTTCCGGCAATAAACGTTAACCATTTAAAATAATTATATTACAACTATATATTTAAAAAGTTATAACAATATAATTTTTGGAACGTATAGAGAATACAACATAAAGACCTGCAACAAATTGTTGAAAAAATGAATTGGTCAAAGTTTTGGAAACCAACGAAATGTAGCCGGAAAAAATTTAAAAATAATAAATATAAAACCTTTAAACTTCAAATAATATTATTTGAATATCATATATATGATTATTTTTTACACTACATTTAAAATGACTTGACAAATTAGTGCCAAGTTCACATTTAGATGAATAAAAAACTAATTTTTAAAACTTAATGAATAATAAAATAAATAATTGTTCGAACGAAAAAAAAAAAATTAACTAAATGAAAGGTCAAAAAAAAAAACTAAATAATACTACACTAATATTACACAATAAGAATTATAATCGAAAAGTTTATTAATAATGTTTAAAAACTTTATTTAATACTGTTATATAAATATTTTTTTTCTTTAAAATAAGTGAATCTTGAATTTTTTAGACTATATCAGTTTTTTAAACTTATTCGTTAAACTCTTTTTCTTTTCGCTAATAACTCTTTATGATTTCCATAATTAACCTTTCTAAATATCAATTCTTTTTTTAACTCGAACTGAATTTCAATCGATCGAAATGAATTTACCTTTCAAGAATCATTTTTATGTTTTAAATATTCTCCAATATCATACTCAAATAACTTACGAACAAATTCTTCATTAATCATATCCATGTTTACGTCGAAGTATTTGTTATCATCCTCTATGAAATTCTCTACGTTACTTTTAGTTTGTTCTAAACCACTTGATTGGTCGTAGTAATTGACATCAGACTTCAGTAGATCATTTAATAATGCGGCAAAAATACTTTTATACAAATCTGTAACCATTATTTTCTTGTTTATTATCTTAAAATCATCTTTTGGGTTAATTTTTACTTCGTCGCGGCCTTGGTAAATAGGACGTGGTTGAATAGTGTTTTCTACCTCGTTTTTGTGACGAGGTTTTTCGAAAAAATATTCTTTTAACTCATTAAGAGATCTTCTGATTTCTTCGGCTTTTTTTGATTCCTAAAAAGTTTTTTTTTTACATTATTTTGATAGCATATTATTTACATAATTAAGAATAAAAATTGAAAATTTGTCACAAAATTGAAATTTTTATGCCAGTTTTTTGTTTAATTTTGTCTTGATCAACTCTTACATGAACTCAGATACTACACCTCTCTTTTCCTTTTTCTCTGAAATCGCACAAAATTTATAAAAAAAATTCCAATAAAAAAATGTCATTTATAAATGCAACCAACATAAAAAGAATGCAAGAAAACCAAAAATGAGAGTCTAAAAGGTACTAAAGTTTAACACATTCTTTTTCACTAAAGGTTTAACGTCAGGTGTGGTCAAACTTTAGTAGTAACGTCAAGTGCTGTTAACTTTAGTATTGTTAGGTATAAACTAAATTTTTTTTTTAAACAAAAATTTCTTCTTTTCTTCGTCAGATAGAGTTTACTACCAGCCGGCACAACTCAGAAACAAGTTACGCTTGGTTTCTGTTGCGCGTTTAAAACCTTCTAAAACAAAAAGAAGAATACGTGCCTAGAATGGCTTTCATTCCGTTAAATTAACTATTACTATATACTATAAATACCAGTTAAATTATTAATGGTTTCACCGGTTCGAAAACGTATTATTATACTATAATAAACTTTTGTAAGAAATGTAAAACCACTGATAAAACCATGCGACATTTAAATTTGACTTTAAAACCTTAAAAAACACGTGTTAAACTTGAGTTCAACTGCCCGTTATGTTCACGTGTTTTTGGTTTACGCCTGGATCGTAAAAAAACGTGTCTATACAGGTTTTAATTCCGAAAAAAGAACTTGATGTACAGGTTGGACTGCAATAAGATTGAATGTAAATTTTTAGTAAAATGAAGTTTAATTTTAATGTAATTTTGAGATATTTCAGAAAAAACTTTGCTACCTTCCATTGATGTCACATTTTCTTAATACCTTCTTTTCACTTTTAATGTAAAATATTTTCGAGGTAATAATCATTCTTTTCTGCTTAGAAGTATTACCTAAAACTATGCTTTTCATTACTTAAGTAACATTTGTTAAGTAACATTCGTTAGGTAACATTTGTGTAGTAATATTCGTTACGTAAGATTCGTTAAATAAAATTAATTACGTAAGATTTATTAAATAACAAATGTTAAGAAAGATCTGTTAGATTAGTTACGTAGGATTTGTTAAGTAAAAGTTGTAAGTTAAAATTCGTTAAAAACTCTTAACTATGAAACTTTAAAATATAAAAAAATGACCTGACAAATTGGTGCAAGGTTCACATCTAGATAAATAAAAAATCAATTTTTAAAACTGTAACAGTTTAATGTATTAAACTATAATAAAATAAATAATAGTTAAAACAAAATAAAATTAATTCAATAAATAAAACTATTATCAAAATATATACCTGATACTATTAAAAAAATACCAAACACAATAATGTAAGAGTACATTTTTTTTATAATAATTTTTTATCCCAGAAAATTTTAATTCGAACTCCAAAATCAATTATTTAACTGTAAAAAAAAATTAATGATTTCTATTAAAAATATTGGAGTTGAAAAAACGTTTTAAACGAAATGTTTTTAATAAGTGTAAATAATCATATGACATTAACAGTTTACTAGATATTAACTTTAGTATCACTAACGTTATCACCATATGACCATAAAACTTACAACACGTTTTCTAAACTCAAAAAAGTCATCCTTTAAATAAAATGCAAAACTGAACAAGTGTTCCCATATGGTTCAAACCTCAAACTCTTGCTTTTAATGCTTGCTTCAATTATCCGGATAATCGTAACCAGATTACCACTGCTGGTTATCTTTATTGAAACTATTTTCATTAAAAAAATCTTTTTTGTATTTTCTGTATCTTAAAAAGAAACAATTTTTAAATATTATCAATGATGCTAATCGATGCATTGTAGATTTGTTTGCGAAATTTTAAAATTTTAAAGCGTAGAAAAATATGTTTAAATGATTAATCCTTTATTGTCAAAATTTTGAATAAAAACGATTTCAAAAACAATTAAACAAACAACCGCTAAACGAATTAAAGTAAATAGATTTTTTTAGGTCTTAAAGTAGTGCATACCACAATATTTAATTGATGCCAAAAACATACCTTTCTTCGTTTTAGTAAATTAAAATTTGACGCATTTATAAATTCACTAGTAATAGAATTCAACCTCCTAGAAGGTAAATCTGTTTTCGGCATTTTAAACTGCGGAGTCATTTGGTAATACTGTGATAAACAATAAAATATTATTTTTAATTATATTTAATCATTTTTTGAACGGATCGTCAACTATTGCCTATTTATTTGAATTAAACTTGACTTGCAATAAACAATTTTAGTTGCTATAAACAACTTTAATGTATATCATATATCCAAGGCAACAATCCAAAACAAAAAATCTGATTATTATTTATAACATAAAAATTAACTAAGTAACTATAATACGTAAAGTGAAAACAAAATTTCTGTAACAATTACTGCAATACGTAAATAAAAATACGTAAAGTGAAAACAAAAATTATGTAACAAGTACAACAATACAAATCCCTGACAAATCAAACCACTGACAAATCCAAAATTTTATCTTTGAAATATATAATTAACGCAACAACCCAACATGATATTAGACAACATCAAATAAAAGTTTAAAATAAAATGAATGATTTGGGATTTACGTGGGATACGAAAAATGCCATTTTTTCTAATCTAATAAAACAAATATTGACAATAAAGTACCGAATTTCCAAACAATAGTACAAACTCTGATTTATTCTGAAATCCGATTTGCATATCGAAGCTTAATTATCCAATTATGTAATTTATTAGCAGGCCCTACACAAAGGCCCTACTCAAAGCTCAAAACACTTTTCTATACCTTAAAAACTTACTTTAATTTATATTGTATTTCTATTAGAAGGTTTTTATATATATTAGTAATGTGCCCGGTACCCGGTTCGGACCCGGATTCCCTGTAATTTGGCTGTTTTCCCAGGTTACCATTATTAGCCATTTTTTTGCAGTGTCCGGCACTAGGTATTTTAAAAGAAAGTTTTAATTAATATTTACCTTTATTGCTGTACTTAAAATATTTTTATTTATTTTATTTACACTACAGTTGAAAAGGCTAACTCTTTTTTTTTTTTTTAATTCTCTGTCTCTCTTAATCTTTTATTTTTTGTAACGTAACTTTTAATTAACTAGCGTATATAAGCGATTATTTAGCAATAAATTACAAAAAAACAAAAATTATATATAATACCTCAATTATAAAACAAAAATTTGTTAGTCGGGAAAGTATTTTTTGAAGTTGAAAGAGTTAAGTTTAACTTTAAAGCTCTCGATGATTTTTGGCATTAACGACGTAAGACTGCAAGTAAGGGATCGCCGGTAATGTACATATTCACGGATATAGTAGAGGAGGGTCAATTATAAAAGTAAGGAGACATTAAATAAAAAAACATCATAAAACTTTGGGTAGGTAGGTTAAAAGCGTAGGTACCTTTAGGGAGGTGAAAAAACGTATATCAAAATGCGGCAGAGTAGGAGGTTAAAATAAAAGCATACGTACTTTATGAAAAACCCCTTATACCAAATATTAACGATCTATTAACTACTATTTAATATTAGGAAACTTGAAATATTACGAAACTATTTAGGTAAACTTAATTAGCGCAAATTAAGATTAGGGGACTCGGCAAAAGCTGGTCCTGGCACATTTCTAATATATATATATATATATGTATATATATATATATATATATATATATATACACACATATATATAATATATATATATATATATATATATATATATATATATATATATATATATATATATATATATATATATATATATATATATATATATATATATACACACATATATATATATATACATATATTGGGATCTACATATATTAGGATCCTAATATACGTATATATATATATATATATATATATATATATATATATATATATATATATATATATATATATATATATATATATATATACATATATTAGGATCCGTCTCTGATATAAATACATTAAATTAATATGATATATAGTGTTTTATTATATACAGTAGAATACCGTTAACTCAGTCTCTGAAAGGGTTTATGTATATATTGTCGCATCCTCATTCATTTTACAGAAGTTTAATTTTTTTTGACTTCTAAATATATATTGTGTTTTTTGCTTTTGACCATTCAGACAATGTTTGTTTTGGAATGCCATATTTCTTTGATATAGTTTCTGACGATTTTTCTTTGTCGACTTTTTTTTTTTTTTAAAGTTGATTTAGGTGCCCCAAGAAGTCCTTACGGTCTTATCACAGAGCACCGCGGAAGAGCATTTAATAGGAAGTTCACGCCTCCTTCCCAACCGATGTCGCAAAACTTGCTCAGAGGTGGGGTTTGAACCACGGATCCTACGTTTCTAAGGCAAGTGCCTCTTTTAGTATTATGCATTTTTCTGCATAGTTCAACTTGTTAGCTTTCTTTTAGCAACCTTCCACATTTTTTAAAATAAATACAATTTAATCGAAGATGAACTGAATCGAAAATATCAGTGAAAAAGTTTAATTTTTTTAATTATACTTGATGCAAAGGTATTTTATTTTCGAACGTTCTAAGTTTTGACTTTTTATTGACGTTTTTGAGTTGTTAATATAATAGTCATAAATAAATAGAATTTAATCGAAGCTTAACCGAATCGAAGACATCAGTGACAATTTTTCGTTTTGTTAAATTATATATGACGCAAGGTACTTTATTTTCGAGCTTTCTAAATTTGGAATTTTTATTGAAGTATTGGAATTTTTGTAACTATATGCACTTATATGTAATTCAAAATAAAAGTCCCAGTTAAGTGAAGTTTTTTTTGCCGAAGGAACCCCAAAAATCAGTACGAGTTAGCGAATGGTATGACCTAACTAAGGTACGACTTAAGCGGATGACTTTATAGTAAGTCGATATAGAAAATTCAAGGGAAAATAAAAATTTCTTTAACTATAGAATGTCTATTAATTTTTATAGAAATTGCTATAAAACTTTTTTTTCTATAAAAAAAAAAAGTAGAAAAAAAATTTTAATAGGAATTTTTATAGACGTTAACAGAAAGTCTATAGAAATTCTATAGAATTTCTATAGGCTATATGTTTCTAAAGTTTATATAAAATTCTATAGAACTTTTTTTCCTGGGTGACCTACTCAGGGTCAGAGTTAACTGGATTCAACTGTATTTGTAAATATTCTACTAAGGCTTGAAGAGTACACGGGAAAAAATGACATAGCCACATTTAAAAAGTTTCGAAAAAGCTTGTATTGATCATTTATAAAAGTCTTCATATAAAGCAAAGAAGACTTAAAATTAGAAAAAAAAGAATTTCTATAATAAAATTTTTGTCTTTTTTCGCCCTATGTCGTTTTTTCCCTAACTTTATACAAAGACTTTTATAAATGATTAATATAAAATTTCTCAAAACTTTATAAATGTGACGTTTGTCCTATATCTGCTTCGGTCATATCTTAATTAAAAAATTATTGTATTATAAATATTTATTATGAATATGACGAAAAATAAAAATAAAAAAATATAAAAAAAAAATTAAAAATTTGCAAAAGAAAAGAATTTAAAAAATTTATTTACGTAAAAATAATTATCGTCTATTAACTAACTGAAAATTTGCAATAACAAGAAGTTTTCAAAAACGGAAAAAAGATTTCGCATATAAGAAATTATTAATGAGTGTATTTAGGCAATAGTAAATTTATTAAACACATCATTTTACTTTGTCGACTGTTAGCTTCTTTTTAAAAAAAACACTCAATACAAATAACTTCAAGTTTTTAAAAAATCAAAGCTCTATCAGTCTATGTTAGAATAGTTTTAATTACTGTAACACCCATTTTGATATTGTAATTGTAATGACTGTAGCACCCATTTTGATATAATACAGATAACGAAGGTTAACATCAGATAATGATGATAAGTTTTTTTTACTGAATAACGTCACTGTATAATTATAGACTTGCGGTCAGTAAATCGGAAAACGCGTTTAACAGATTGATAGCAAGATATAAATTCTTTTATTTACTAATTATATTAAATTAAGAAAAAAGTAAAAAACCAAAACCTATAAAAAAGCCGTTTTTTCTTTTTTAATACCTGGTTAACTTGTTTGACATCTGAGCTAACATCTTGCTTAGCTTTTTTATTATTTTATTTAAAAAAAGAAATCTTTAGATCTTTTAGTTCTGTAACAGATTAAATAAAGTTGTCTTGATCAGCAAAACCAAATAATCGACAGTCTTTTACTAATTTGGTTTTTGCATAGTACTTTTGTGGATTAGACAAGATAAAAGGTATATCTTAGACAATGTTGTCAAGTTTGAAATATTTTTTGATTTTGAAAGATATTGATTTTTGATTTTTTGAAAGATTTTTTGATTGTCTAGTAGTAATGCGGAAAATGATAAAATCTACGCTTAGTACAAAACAATATAAGAATGGCGGTTGATTGTTTTTCTGCTAACTTCTGCTAAAAGGCAAGTAAACAATCTAACTGATATAAAGAAATTTCTGGCTTAATTGATATATCAAGTTCAAGTTAAAAGTCCGACCTATGATTGATATCCGACCGATGATTGTACAAAGCTCTATCATTACTTCAAGAGTTATGATTTCTAGAAATCGCATTAAATTTCTTTTAGCAATACTACATACTATGAACCCAAACAATCAAAACGAATACAACTTACAAGCTAGAAAAGTTATGCTGCTACTTGACAAATTCACATGTTGACACCTGTTTCGGCCGGACATGTTGACACCGGATTAAAATGGAGCTTAAATGAAAAAGTGTACTTTAAAATACAGAGCAAACATAATGTCTTTTGGAATTTATTTTACTGTAATATACTT